AATTTGCCCTACCCTAGGAAAAAACCTTTGGTGTTGAAAAGAATCTGGTTCAGAAAGAGTATTTGCTTTTAGAGAAGTTCTTATAAATAGAGAAAATATTGTATTGGGTTTCGTTATCTTTGTTGTGAAAAAAAAAACCAGAATTCATGGAATCTGAGAATGGGGATAGTTCAAGGTTTGAGAAAGCTTGAACTACAGTGTTGTAATCCGTTGTTTTCTTTGATTAAGATTTCAGTTCTTATGAGGGTTTATATTTTGGTTAAATTTGTTGTAGCTGTATAGATTCAGATGCTAATAGTTAGACGGATTCTTACAAACAAACAAAAAAAAGAATCGTCCCTTGTAAATTGTAATAGTGTTGCAGAATGGATGCTATAATTCAGGCATACAAAAACATTTGGAGCACCTAGTGTCTAGATGGATGATTGAGAAACATGAACAACTCAACGAGCTTACCTTATTGAAATTTTGTATAAAAAAACGAAGTGTTTAGTTTTGTAAACCATTGTTGAAAAAAGAAAAGACAGTATCCAATTCAGTCTTGTTCATACACATTCCGATCTCAACTCCACCTGATTCGTCACGTCTCTCTGCCATTGAGATTTCATCTCCTCTAATGGAGATAACATCAACCTTAACTGGTCTTCCCCACCCGAAATCCATCTCGTATACTCCGAACCGGTTCGAGCCGGCTACTGTCCCGAACTGTGAGCTCTCACCTATGGATTTGAATGAAATGGCGAATCGTTCTGGGATCGTCTCTATCATTCCTGGTGAACTCAAGCTTTTGACCAAATCGCTGAGGATCTCTACCGTCGTTACGAATCCTTTCTCTCCGGTAAAATCCGTCGCCTTCCGTTTGTAGCAGGCCACCGGAACTATGCAGTTTCCGAAGTATGTCGCCGGAAGAGGCGGGAGTAACCGCGTTCTGAAATCTCCCGAGAAAAGTAAACTCACCAGTCGCTCTCCGTTTCCTCCACGCGCCTTCACAAAGCAGGTCCACACGTAGGCGTATGCGATGACGAAAGTCGACATGTGAAGTTGACTACGATCATTTTGACTCCTGCATCGTTCCCGGAGTCTCTCGACGTCATTTCGAGACAGCACAAGCGTGGCCAGGACGTCGTCATATTCGATTTCTCTGGCGGGACCCCGGCTTAGGCTTCTCATGTTGGTTTTGTCATCTCTGAGAGATCTAACCATCTCGATCATCTGTTCATCGAGTCCGGTTAGATCTTCGACCAACGACCGATCAAGAGACGGGGTCAGAGTCTCAGGTAGAGAGATGACTCTGTTTTCCATGTGTTGTTTGCATAAGTGAGTCCAAGCTTTCATGAACATGCTCAACGTTTTTCCGTCTAAGACGGCATGGTGTGCTGTGTAGCCGATGGAGAAACCTTGGTTCGGGAACAAGGTGATTTGCAGAGAGAAAACGGACGCTGCGTCATCAGAAAACGGCAACTCCGGTGTCAAAGTGTGTAACTCGGAGGCTGGACGTTGACCATAGCCGGAGAGAAGAGAGAAATCAGCGTCGGTCTCGGCGATTGTGACCAAAACGGCGTCGTTTTGAGAAACGACGATCCTCGGTTTCAGCTCGTCTTGGTTCCAGGTGAGGCAGCCGGAGAGAGGGAGATAGCTGCGTAGGACGAGTGAAAGAGAGAGTTTGAGATTAGGGAGGATAAAGGAGTGGAAATGCTCACGAGTCGACTCGGTGAGTCTGTAGAAGAAGACTTTTTTGGGTGCCTGCATCAATAGCCATGGTAGATCGAAGAAAGTCAACGGCAATGTAAGCGAGTTGGCCGAGTTTTGGACCGAGTCTGAGCCGGTGTAGGGAATGATTTGGGCAACCTCAACGATCAGTAGCGTCATTTGTGCTGAACAAGGTAAAAGTCTATCGGAGTTGTTCACTGATTCAATCAGAACAAAATAATAGTATTAGACAATAAGAGGAAGAGAGTTTGGAAACGTTAATGTACATATATTTTAGTCAATCTTTTTAATAGTGGTTCGCCTTTTTTTTTTTCCCTCTGAAAATTATTATATTAAACAAGGTAGAATACATATGGATACAAAGCAAAGCCCGAAAGATTACCGGGGAACGTAACATGAAAGCTTACAAAAAACAAAGGTCGAAACATAACAATTATCTAGAAAACAAAACAACCACTAAACAAGAGTAAGTAAAGACAATCGCAATCAACGAAAAGTGCGGAGATAGCAACAGACGCGGTACAACGAAGCTCACCAGAATTCGATAAGGCAAAGGAGAACCGCGAATAATAAACCCAAATACGACGATTAGCTAGAACAAAGAAACACGATCGGTGAGCTAAATTCCTATCTATCTAATTTTCAACCTAAAAAGTCTAAATTTAAAACTTTGCATCCCCACCAGAGGTTAGCCTTACCAGAACTGACAATAGAAGACCATAGATGAAAACTAGTTATTTACTAAACAAAGGGACGATGGAAGGATGCTGGAAAAGAGTCACCGAGATAAGAAGAAACTAATCGAAAATTACCCAACCAAGATCTAAACGCCTTCTTTTGTTCTATACTTTTCGGTTTTATTTATTTTTCGAAACAATATTGTTTAAACTGTTTTTAAAGTTTAAAGCACGTTCTAAACTTTTTTAAATACAATCAAATCTTATCGTATCCTCTTAATTTTCAACGAATTTGTTTACCAACTTGTGGAACCTACAAGCTTTGTCCATTTCAAAACGGGTTTAAAAGGTGTACAAAAGCAAAAGGACATTATTTTTTTTATGAGCAGGGCCATGTCTAACAAGTAAGAAAACTGGTTTGGGTATGATGAGGTCATCGAACCATAACTGAACCAGAGATTCAACAAGGTGACATCTCAAACCGACTAGAAGCCAATAAGGACATAGTTTTCTTCCAAAGAGCCTACACCACGAACCAGAAGGAAATAAGTAACGAAACAACTTATTCCAAAAACTTAACGCTTCAGAGAATTACCTCGAACTGGATTCATCTCAATATGAGTTCATATGAAGGAGATATGACATTTTCAAGTTAGTTGGGTGTTTCCAAACATACCCGAGTTGGACCTATGCGCACTCATTGGAGGATTGCAACTAAACTAGAGGGAATTAAGCTAGGAAACGACTAATTCTGAATTCTTCAGCCATCAGAGAACAACGATTAATTGGATTCATGATAAGATCGGTTTTGGTTTGGCAATTATCCAATTTCGTAACCAAAGGATCCTCACTTGCCTTATTTGGAACCTTTCAGATTTAGGAGTCTTCAAACACATATTTGGCAACCAGGCAAGTCTCTACTACAACTAGAGGCTCCAATTAACACGCAAGCATCATTCTCAGCCATTGGATCAGGAGGATTCAATTATATACTTACTTACCATATTTGGCGTCAATAGAAGGTATGAGGATTTTTCCTGCATACCTACAGCTCGACGGCGGTCGGAGTGTTATAGTTGTACTGTCTTTTTTCCTTTTACTTATGATTTCAGAGATTAGTCCGTCAACTTGTGATTTTTCAATTAGCTCCTTTGTTCCAGAAGCAAGAGAACTCTAGAATACCTGAAACCTTGACGATGATTCCAACATAAACTCACCAAGTAACAACACTAGTAGAAAGGCACGTAGAACCGCAATAGAACAGACCAAAGAACTAATCCACATGAACTAACCAAAAACATCAAGGGACTTGAGATGAGGTCCAAAATAAAAAAATTTGACCTTTAACTCGAAAAATGTC